GGACAACAACTCTGATGAGAAGGAAAAAGAAGAGTCATCCAAAAAGACAGATGTGGATGTACAGAGAACTCCATAACCAACTCAGATGTTTAAAAGGTATGTACAGGAGGTAGAATCAGGGGCAATAAACAGGAGATGAATACAAGAGCAACACCCTGTCACATAAGAAAGTGTCAGGAGAGAGAAATTTCAGAATGTATTGATACTGGCAAGCAAAGCTACAAACAATAAATATGAATTTTTAGCTAAGAGGAAGAGGGAAAGAAGAAGAACAAAAAACAAGATAAATCCATAGCTCAGACGGGAAGGAACAATGGTAAATATTAACAAAGGCAATGAAAAGCTGCTCAATTCTTATCTTGCTTCTGTTTCCTTGACCAACAAGAATGATTTTCAGACTAGAATGGACAAACTAAAAAGGGTTACTATGGAGCTGAGGCCCATGATAAGTAGTAGGGAATGAGAGCGCCTGTCTGATGAGTTCAAATAATCTGTCCCAGATGAATTACATCCCTGGGTACAAAGAGAATTGATAAATAAGCCACTGTCAGTGATATAGGAAAGATCATGAAGAGGTACCACAGGATGGAGAAGGAAGAATATCTTCCTGCTTTTCAAAATAAAAAGGGAAAAAATAGAATCTGCAGACTAGAGAACACCAAGCTCAACTTTAATCCCTGGGAAAATTCTAGCATATATTATTGAAGGGATAACTAATAAATATCTAGAAAAAGAAACAGTAATCACAGAAAAACAGCATGACTTCACTTCATCAAGGAGAGGTCATGCCAGACTAAACCTTGTTTCCTTTTCTGAAAGGGTTACTAGTCTGTTACATCAAGAGAATATCATCAAACAGTTTACCATGATTGAGTAAAACATTTAAGAAAGACCTTAAGATTTCTTCTTGTGAAAGATGGAGAGAAGTGAGCCAGATAAGATGATTAGATAGATTTGGAACTGGTAGAACCCATAGCATCATTAATGATTTGCTATGAGTTTAGAAAGAACAATGTGATGGAGTATCTCAGGGATCTGTTCTTGGCCTCTATGGGTTGAGATTTTCATCAGTGGCATGAAAAATGGCATAAATGGTGTGTTCATCAAATCTATATACATCACAAAGCTGGAAAGCATAGCCAACACACAAAATGGCAGAGTCTGCATTCAAAAGATTTTAACAGACTAGAATATATTGTGCCAAATGTAATAGGATTAAATTTAAAGTCTTACACTGGTATGAAAAACAAAAAATCACCTTCAAAAGTATAAGATTTTAAGATTGGGGGCAAGGCTAGTTAGACAGTGGCTGCTGTGAAAAAGATCTATAGTGGTATATAAGAACCACAGAAATCAGCACTGTGACACGGCAGCCAGAAAAGTTAATGGGCTACATTAAAATAAGACCTAGGGAGACACACTGCTCACTCTGCCTTGGGCACACCACATCTGTAGTATTCAATCCAGTTCTAGAAACACTTTAAAAAAGGCATTAAGTTAGAAAGTCTGTAGAAGAGGGCAACCAAGCTCACAAGACCACAGACGCAGAGCTGGGAGGGACCATAGAAGCCTTCAAGAGGTGGTGATTTGTCCAGAGTCCATCATCAGAGGCAGGTGCTCTGACACTAAAGCCAAGGCTTTTTTTCCCACAATTCTCTGAGAAGCCATGTGAATACTGGTTGAAAGGCCTGGTGATGTTTTGCCTGCAGAAGAAGGAATTAGTGAAGCTGTCTTCAAGCACGTGAAGTGCTGTCACTTGAAAGAAGGATGAGACTTGTTCCATAGAGTCCCAGAGGGATAGAAGGGTCAAATTTCATTTTAATGTGAAGGAAAATTTCATAAACAATTAAAGCTGCCCCAAAGTGAAGCGGGCTGCCCCAAAGTGAAGCGGGCTGCCCTAGGAAGCAGTGGGCTCTCCCTTGCTTGAGGGAGCAAAGGCTGGATGACTACTCGTCAAATATACTGTAAGGAAACTGTTTTTCAGATCTAGGCTAAACTGGATGGCCTCTGAGATCCCTTTCAGATCTGAAAATCTATGATTCTAAAGACATACTTCAAATTTAAAGAACGATTTTAAATTTTGCCAATACTAGGGAATCAAAGTCATCTGATTGCAAGTGCCCTTTCCAATGCATTATACTTTCTCAATATAAATTCAAAGGATATTTATTTTATAAGGAAAACCACATGTATTCATTTAAAAGTACTATTCTAAATTACACCATTCTCTATTCCCATTTCTACCACTATATACGATCTCCAGTTCCTATTTCTCCTTCTACTCCTAATTAATTTCTTTCCTATCAAGAACAGAGCTTCAAATTTCTCACAGAATTATATGAATTCCAAGTGTAAAAAAAATTATTTTTTCCAAGTCAGAAGTTCGCTTTACATAGAGATAGGGCCTTTAAAATTTGGAGATGTCATATTAGGGGAGAAAAATAATCTTAATTTTACAAAAATATACATTTGCTATCTCAGTACTAAATTTACAATGCCACACCAAAAAGACACATAAATTAATCTATGTTGGGCACACATAAAGTAACACTGCAATAAAAATAGCTAGCATTTATATAGCACTTTAAAGTTTACAAAATGCTGTACATTTCTCATTTGATCCTTATAACAATCCTGGGAAGTAGGTGCTCTTTACCTATTTTACAGATGAGGAAATTGAGGGTAACAGGTTAAGTGACTTGCCCACAGTCACACTAAGTATCTGAGACAGTATTTGAACTCGTCTTCCTGAGTCCAAGTCCAGCATTCTATCCAATGACCACTTCTTTAAGCAACAGAAGCACTCTTAAAGCTATATTTAAACTTATTTTTCTGCAAATCAAATTATAAGTCATTCTGAAGAGCTGATGATTTAGTGGAAGGTTACAGTGAAATCTCTGCCAGGGATCCTTCACTCTACAAAGTGATCATATTTCCCCATAATGCAAGTTCAGATTTATTGATATCAGGTTTTCTTAAAGTGAAGGAAAGAGATTTTTTTTTAATCTTTGCAACTCCAGCACCTTGCACAGTGCTTTGCACATAGTAGGTACTTAAGTGCTTACTGGATTGGACCTATATTTTTTAAAAAGTCCTGAACCTTCAGAAACAAGCTTTAATAGAATTTTTTTAATTACCTGGTATAGCTTTTCTAGATAGCTTTGCATGTGCTATGTAGAAAATGCACTAACACATTGAATACAGTGAAGTTATTAAATAAAGATTTCTTCCAACAGCAATAAAAGTGATTAAAAGAATACAAAATAAATATACAACACCTTTTTTTTTCTTTTGCCCAAATGTTTTCTAAGGAGTTCTCATTTAATTTTTAAAAGCATATATGCACATAAGAAATCCAGTTATTCTCAAAAATACTCGAGAGCGATGGCAGATAGACCACAGATGTGGAATGAAGCCTATGTTGAGAGACATGGCCAATGTGTTAGATTGTTTTGCTTAACTCTACAGTCTGGCAAGTTGGAGTTCCATTGAGACAAGAGTGAAATCCATGTTAAGAAAAAAAAAAGGCACTCAAACAATGAAAAGTGGAAACATCAGAAACAGAAACATTCTCATGTTTAAGACTTAGTACGTTTCAAACACTAAAAGCTGAGTTACCAAAAGATCCAGGAAAAAATCTAAAGCATTTTAGAAATGATCAAAGTTTTTTGGTCCCTGATAGCCTGCTATTTATTTTCTTTGCTCAGTGTCCTTCATCTTTCCCCATTCTATATAGGGGATTCAAAGGGTCCTATAAATAAAATATTAGATTGTCACCTACTACTGGTGACCATAATTTCACTCAAGTGTTCCATAGATATAATAAACTGTGAAACCAAAGTTATGGAGTCAAATCTTCCATAGCTAATCAAGTGTGGAATCTCTGAAATGGAATTAAACTACATCATATAAAAAGAGAATATACGACTATTTTTCAAAATAATTTGAATCCTTCACATATCTCTATGGTGCTTTTCCTTTGTTAGACAACTCAATTATTTCTGGGGGGAAATAATTCAAAAGCTATTTCTTAAACCGAGCTAATAATCATCTGGTTTGAATTCTGGTAAATTAAACCAAGTTAGAAAGGTGGTAATACAGATTTGGATGTGTTTTTATTTTTAATCCTTCTTTTAAATTGAGTAATTCTCCAGACAATAGAGCACTTTCACCTGGGATCTGGGAAAGAATAGTTACAGTGAGAAGGAAAAGAATTATGGATTTATTCCACAAAATCTTGATATGTTCATCATCATGATCTAAAATACCAGTTTGGAATAGTAGTTTCATTACCTTTTGTGACCTTGCCAATTTCTAAAGCAGAAAATCATGGAAGGAAGGGTAATAGATTCAAGCCTCATTCAAGACACAGTCATGAGGCTTAAATCTATCTCCCTAGCAAAAATACATTTTCTTCAACCAAGGTTGTATCATAATCAGTCAAGTTTTTAGCGTGACATAAGGTATCAGGCAATGTGGTATCATGGATAGATAAGACTTTACATCAGATAGACCTGGATTCATCTCCTACCTTGGAGAGACAAACTTTTTTTTAAGCACCTACTATGTGCCGGGCACTACGCAAAGCACTTCTATCACTCACCAGCTATGGGACCATTAATAAGTCACTTAACTTCTCTAAATCTATCAAACAAGGATAATACCAGTGGTATCTACTTCACTCAATGTGAGGTTCAAATTAGATAGTCTATATAAAGCATATAGCAAACCCTGAAGTACTGTAATAAATGTTAGTTATTACACAGATAGGAAATTCTGAATATCAAACATAAAAAATGAAAGTGATCCTAAGTACAACTTCAAGGAAGTGATCTCACCTAAACACTCAATTTGAGTTGACCTTGTGACTTCAAAAACATAAGAATCTCAACTTCTAGGATCACAGATTTAGGGCCAGAAGAACCTTAGAAATTATCAAGTCCCACCCCTTCATTTGCTAGATGAGGAAATGAAGCCCAGAACATCAAAGGTATTATTACCTCTTCTAAGGCAGGAAGGCTGCAAGGCTCTTCTAGGCTTCGAGGCTGCTTTAGGGCACCATTTTCACCCATCCTGTTCTTGAGAACAAGCGCCTCCACATCAGACTGCTGGTGAAAAGAGTCCTGAGGGCCCGAGGAAAGTTGTTCGCTGTACCGAGTCTGAATCATACTACCTGAAACACTGACCACTGGCTCCCCATTAGAACCTGTTTGAGAGGCCTGTGGAGTAAATACAGCACCTGGGAGATTCATATACTGGGGGCATTCCAAGGAATTAGGCTGCTGACTTAACAGAAGCTCAGGTGTGGTTTTGTGTTCATTTCCCACAGGTGGCTGTGCAAGAGTCTCATTGGTGGCGAAGTTCTCTAAATGCTTTCTTTCCACTGGCCCAAGATGAAGGGCTGTGGGCTGTGGGAGCACAGTTTCCAGTCTCTGTGATTTTTCGGTAGCTGACTGAACAGAGGATGGGTTCAGCTGTGTAAGACTGGCCTGTATTAGGGAAGGTTGCCCGAGCTGCTGAAATATCTGCTGAATTGGATGCTGAAGGATACTTGCTCCTCCAGGGCTCTGTGTTACCATAACAGGCACATTCACTTTATAAAGATGTCCTGACAAACAAAATAAAAAGATATAATTAAACCCTAATACTCTTTTTTAAAATTCAATTTTATTTCAGATCTGTATTTTCTATCTCTTCCTCTCCACTGAAAAAACAAAAACAAGACCCATCACAAATAGGTATTAATCGAGCAAAACAAATCCCTACATTGGCATAGTAGATACAGTCGGTCTTAGAGTAAATACAACCTGAGTTCAAGTCCGACTTGTGTGACCCTGGTGGAAAAGTCACTTAACCTCTCAATGCCCCAGGCAATTCTCAAACTATAACATTACAGAACAATTGCTGGTGTGCATTGGTAGAATAAGTTGGGGGGGTGGAGCTCCTATCAAAGGAATCTCATCTCTAGACCAAAAGAAAAAAAAATGTTCTTAGCTTATGAAGCATATTTTATATTGTGATATTTGAAAGCTGACAATGCTACATCCTTCCCAATCAGTACTTAAGGCAGGTGGACACAATGTTACAACGTACCTGTACAAATCTGGGTTTCAATTAACCTAATTGTATAAAATAACTGCTTTTTTCACATTTTCCATTATTCAAGATACCATGTAGATCTTAGTTCTAAGGTAATTAAAAGGACAGGTCATATAGTCAATAAGAGTTTTAAAACTTTTGGAGCATATCAAATTCTCTGTCTCCCCCAAAGATTATCAATAGAATCACAGGCTTTTAGAGGTAGAAAAGGGCAGTAGGAGATGTCGTCCAACCTTGAACTTTGGAGATGAGGAAAATAAGGCCAAGAAAGGTTAAACAATTTGCCCAAGGTCACACAACAAGTAAGTGTGATAGCCAGGACTCAAATGCAGGTCCCCTGATTCCATTTCAATGTTTCCTCTACCACACTATTTACCATTTATTAAGCATCTATATTCATGGCACTGGGGTAAAGATTGGAGATTAAAAGAAAAAGTGACAGTACCTACCCTCTGGGAGCTCGAATTCTACTACATTCTAGCTTATACCATGCTGTATTCTTCCTTGAATCACCAAGAATGGTAGAATTCAAAACATCTGCTCCAGTAGAGCTAGTCTCATGCAATGGAAGGAATCCTGGATTTGGAGTCAAGAGACCAAGGTTCTAATCATGGCCCTTAGACTTAGACTTGCTGGACAATTAAGCAAAATGAGCTCACCTCTCTTGACCTGTTTCCATATCTGTTAAGTGGGAAAATTGGACTAGATAACCTCAAAGACAACTTGCAGCTTTAAATCTATGATAATCATAATAATCTCTTATTGAGGAAAGGAACTAATACATACTTTTTAGGCTAATTTCTTTTTCATGTATATAGTTAGCTACAGGAAAATAATTTCACTTTGGCAATGAGGAGTTACAACCTCCATCAGCAAAAGAAACACCTATCCTTAAAATCAGGGATCTTTTGAAACACAGATGCCCAAACCCGTGGAACACTGTAATTATACTGTAAAAAGGTATCTAGCTTTTGTTTTAAGGTTAATTTAAGATGCAATAGATGGTAGAGTTCCTATATACCAAAATAAATAAACTCACATAGAAGCACAACCAATCTTTAAGTCAATAGTTTAAGCCCATAAACAAAAGTGGGTTATATGGATAAGACAAAAGTGAGCTAGCACCTCACTTTCTGGAGGTCCCAAGACTGAAAGCAAAGACTATGCTGTGCTATATGAGAATTTCACTAAAATTCTAGCAATCCTGATGTGTGGGCTGAAATACCTTGATGACTGGTCCCAGCACCAGGAAAGATGCCTTTTTTTTTTTAATAAGCCAAACCTAGGGAAGCATATTGGTAGAACTGAAGAGAAGTTGAGGGGTCAACCATATTTTCTTTCTGTCTTGCTGAAAGCCTTTTCTAGAAAACCAAATTGTGTTAATGAGTGAGGATACATCCACTTCATATAGGGAATAAAACTAGAGGGACACCAAGTTGTTTGTTTGTTTTTTTTAATAGTTTATAACTTTTGTTACACATTTTATAGATGTATTTGACCTAATTACCTAACAGCTACATGGATACAGTGTTTGACTTATGAGTCAGACACATAATAGTTGTGGGACTCTGAACAAATCACTTAACCTCTATCTGCTTCAGTTTTCTCATCTGTAAAATGGAGATAATAATGGTACCCACAACACAGGGTTTGTGTAAGGACCAAATACCATGGCTTATGTAAAGCACTTTGCAAACCTTAAAGCACTTACACTAGTTGCTATTATTATACATAATTGATCAGCTAAAACCACTGTTCCAAACAAAAACATTCTTAAAAGTTTGCTCTCACCAGATGCTGTTTGCAGAGTCACTCCTGCTGGTACATGAATGGGATAACCAATACCAGAAGGAAGGCTATAATTTGCACTGGAATTTGAGGTGCCCTAGATGTGAAAATTTCATCACATGAAGTTAAGCAAAAGTACATTTTATCCCCACCTTTGTCCCTCTCCCCTGATAAAAGTTCAGATACCATGGAACTTCATTAGGAATGAGTCCTCTGAATGAAGCTGCTTTCAAATAGGAGACCATAAAGCTAACCTAGGTACAGATCTTGCCGCTTTGATCTACTCATGTTACTGGTATCCTGGCAAAGTCAAAAAATGCCAAGCCTTATTTTTAAAACTCAGTCTTTTTTGCCCGATAATTCTTAAAGCAAATCCTAGGACCACCAAGGGTTATAAGCAAGCTCTACAGGTCCATCTTTGGGTAGTACTGAAATAAGTGGGAATTAAGTGGCTACTCTATAGAGCTTTTGCCCTTCAAAAGCTAGCCCACAAATCAAAAGAGTATGAAAACACAAATTTGTGTTATGCAAGGTAGACCTATAAAAATAAGCCCAAGAAGAACTGGTTCTAGTATCTCCAACCTCATGACAAAGCATTCGATTTTCTTCATGGACTGTGATTTTCTTATAATCTGTTTCAAATTCTTATTTTATAAGGAAAAAATGGAGGTGTTTTAAGCTGTTTGATTAAGCTACAAAAGTATAGCCAGGATATTCCATTTAAATGCAAGAGAAAAGGAAATTGTTATATATAAGCATAGTTGTAAAAAAAAAAAACCCACAGGAAGTCTCAGCTTCAAAATTTTTATTTAGGCCTTATCAATTGCAATCTCAACAGAACCAGACATTTATGCTATTATAATTCCAGTTTTTCAACTAACATATAATAGCTCTAAGACATCCTAACCCTGTGCCCTGGTAGTTTCAAGCTTGGCAGATGCTAAGTACCTTGGGGGGGAACATTGGAAAAGTCAGCAAAAATGCCAACAAAAGTTACCAAATATTCCCAGTGTAGTTTAGCACCTACATCATGGCACTCACATTCCTTTCTACCCAATCTCAGTATTACCATATCCCTAACTTGAAAAAAGAGAGAATAAACAAAATAAAAACTATTTTAAATGCTGACAGGAACACAGAAATAGTCAAAGACATGGATAAATTCTTCACCAATATTCAAGAAGTGTTCAGGGAATATACACTTACATACCAGTTCTGTAGTAGTGAAATTTGGAATAGTTCTCCCAGCAGGAATAACTAAAGATGCTGCATGAAAACAAAATAAATGTTACAAAATGTTAGCATTAACTGAAATATTTAACAAAATTACTAATTATAGTTTCCTATTATGGGATTACTACATCATTATTCACCTCCTCAAGCAACATAAACAAAAAACTGCCTGCCACCAAAAGGAATTTTGATCTTAAGCTATATTTCCTTTTTCAAAACAACTTCAGATAAAAGCTTTGCAATGAAACTTTTTTGTAACATCCAGAAAGAAAAGAATTGTTCCAATTTTTCAGAAAATGCTGTCCTTTAGAAATACACAAGCTGTGCGTATGCCTGTAGTCCCTGCTCCTGGGGAGGTTGAGGTTGGTTGGACTGCTTGAGTTCAGGAGTTCTGAGCAGCAATAGAGAGGGTCCAATTAAACAAGCTCTGGAACCCATTCTTGATGATCTTAAGAAAACAATGGAAAGAGAGGGGAATAAGAATACCCTGGGGGTGGGGAAGGCAAGTCATCTCAAATCAGGGTGCTAACGTAGACATCTATACAAGCAAGGAGGGAGAGAGAACATATCCCATCTCTGCTTTCATATCCTATGTGAGTCCTCCATGATCTCGCCAAATGCTTCTCAGAGGATCTACCCAAATGCCTTCAGGCCTACTTCTAGCTTTTGTAATATTTCAATAACAGTATGGACAACACTTGCACTGTTCTGTTGTCCCTTGTTCTCATTATATGTAACCCATCTCTCTTTCTAGTGATTAACAATAACCACAACAGCAGCTAACATTTATATAGGTCCTACTATGTGCCAGGCTCTGTGCTAAGCACTTGACATATATTATCTCACTTGATTCTCACAACAACCCGGGGGGGGGGGGGAGGTGCTATTATTATCCTCACTTTACAGATGAAGAAACTGAAGTAAACAGTGGTAAAGTGACTTGCCCAGGGTCACACAGCTATTACATTTCTAAGGCCAAATTTGAACTCAAGACTTCCTGAGGAAGAGGCCCAGTGCTCTATTTATTGCACCTCCTAGCTATCTGTATGTATATACATCAGAGCTATAGTTAGAAGAAATGTTTAACCAAACAAGGAATTGAGGTAATGAGAGAAAATAAAGATAAAACAGGTAACTTTAATTACATGAAACAGAAAAACTTCTGCAAAAACAAAATTAATGCACGGAGAATTAAAAGGGAAGCAGTCTAATGGGAATAAATTTTTGTATCAAATTTCTCTGATAAGGGTTTGGTATCTATAAATAATTAACACATTCATAACCAAAAACCATTTCCTAATAGATAAGTTGTCAAAGAACATGAACAAACAGTTCTCAAAAGAATTGCAACCTATTAACAATCATACAAAAAGAAGCACCAAATCACAAATAAAAGAAATGAGAAACAACCCTGACATTTCTCCTCACACCCAACAAATTGGCAAATATGACAAAATACAGGACTAGTCAATGTCGGAAGGGTTTGTGGGAAGATAGGTACACTAATGCCTTATTAAGTGAGCTATGGAACTGGACAAACCATTTCGGAAAGCTAACTTGAATTATGCAAACAGAGTGACTAAAATGTCCTTACCCTTTGACCCAGAGATTCGATTTCTTAGACTTATTCCCCAAGGAGGCCATTAATAAGAAAATCCCCACGTACACCAAAATATTTATGGTAGCACTTTTTGTGATAGCAAAGAAATGGAAACAAAGTCAACGTTCAACAACTAGTAAATAACTAAATTAGTGTTTATAAATGTAATGTAATATTACTGTGTTGTAAAAAATGACAAATGTGATGAATACAGAGTATGGAAAAGTCTACATATTGAAGTAAGTGAAGCCAAGAAAAAAAATGTGTGTGTGTGTGTGTGTGTGTGTGTGTATACAGAATGATAACAATGTAAATGGTTAAAATGCCAAAAAAAAAAGGGAAATGTAAAATTATAAAGTACAACGAAAGAAGAGATAAGATGGGAGGTCAACAAGTGTTGTACATTGCACATTAAGACTTTGATAAATTCATCACACTGATTTTTTTCTCCTTTTTTGTCTTTAAAATAGGATTTTTAGTACGGGATGACAGTTTTCTGATAGGGAGAAGAAAGTTAGAGGAAACTATGATGATTTTTTTTAAAGGCATCAATATAAACTTTTTTTTTTTTAAAAAAGACCTGGATTTTAATTTTACCTCCAAAACTTAGTACCAATATGACCATAAGGAGCAAGTCACCTAATCTCAGTTTCTCATCTACAAAATGGAGGTAATATCTACAGTACCTACCTCACAAGGTTCAGTGAAAATATACCTAAAGCACTTTGCACATGTTACACTCTTGAAAGCGCTCTACATACGTGGATTTGTCTTTCATCTCAAACAACTATTCAAAGAAAACACCTGAAAGACCCGTTTTTGAATAAATTATCTACAAAAGACATTACTTAACACATGAAATCTCTCTCAAGAGATTAACAGACTCCGTTGCCATTATTTAAAAAAAAAAAAAAACCACAGAAGTGAAACAGCAAAGACTGGTGGTTAATGAAGCACAAAATTATTTTTACTCTCAGTTCATCTCCAGTTTCGCCATTAACACTCCATTAGAAACATTCAAGTGTCAGAACTGGAGTGAAGGATCACAATGACATCATATTAATTACTTGAAGTGGCCCCAACTTGAGCAGTATAGCTAAAGTCGTTGCTTGACAGGAAAGCAAAATCTGATTATACCAGTTCCAATAACTGATATAGTCAAGTTTCCTCAGGGAAAAAAATCTTTCCATCTTAGATATCATCCAAGGAATCCTGAAGGACATGTATTTAAAGGAGCCAAGATAACTATGTTAATAAAAGTTTACATCCCACGAAATAAGACCATTTAATTAATTGTTTGATTTTACAATGCAATTTCTCAAAGCCTAGAGAACTAGCTATTTAATTCTGACACCAAATTTATCCCAGAAGTTAGTGAAATGAGTTCTGTGGAACATATTAAAGATAAGTGTTAGAACACAATAGGCCTGACCTCCACTTATAATTATGTGTGCTTCTACAGAAATTTTTTTTTTAATTTTACTTAAAATTTGGATCAATTTCATATTGTAGAAGTATAGCTTCTTTATTTTGTAAAATAACATAAGGGTCATAGCACGTTTTCTTTCAGAACACAGTGTGTTAGAAAGCATATTACACTTGAAGTCTGAAAATCTGAGTCCCCCGGACTCCTTAGGTGACGTGGGAGGAGTCACGTAGCCTTCTCTGGGCCTCCACTTTCTTACCTGTAACATACAGGGGTTACATCAGATGAGCTAACATGCTGTGACCCTGTGGGTCACTGGGTTTTGAACATCTCATGCTAATAAGAAACCACTTATCAAAAGAAGCTATTCCCAAAAGGTCAAAAACTAGAGGAGCAATCACATATGGAGGTCAAGAAGAAATGGGATGTCCAATAATCTGGGGGGCTAGTTGTTCTTGGTAGTATTTTTATCATTTGTGCTATTTTCACATTTTTCAATTTTCCCTTTTCTCACATAAAGGCACATTTGGGCATGTTGGCAGAAGAAAAGAGGGACAAAGAATTGAACAGGTGTTTGGAGCTACAGGTATCTCAGGATGGCAGTAAAGATCTGGGATTCAAGACCACTGAATCAGAAAATGACAGAACCCACTAAGTGGTTCTGATGGTCTAATCAGGGTCATCTATCTTGTCAAGACGTTCAGCCAAAATTCAAAAACTTTTGAAAGAAGGAGAAAAGGTAGCTCCATGATAGCTCCACCAATCTAATCATTAATCTGTGTTAGAAGAATGGTGAACTATTTTTTAAGGGAGGGGTTGGAAGAGGACCCACACCTCTCATACAAAAGCGATTTTTTTTTTCTTCTGTAAATTCCATTTGAGCTTGACACCCAAGGTAGTGAGGAGCCACTGGGAGAACATGATTTCATCTGAAGGAATTCTATACAAATCCTAATTAATCAAGGCTTTGAAAAGAAGACCAAAAAAAAAAAAATCAGACCCCTCAGAAAGATGGGGTACTGTAATTAAGAGGCATCTCAAATTTATAAGACTATTTATTTAGGAGTCTCACTTGTAAGAGGGCTGAAGATAAAAAGGTATAAAAACAAGACTAAATTTGCACTCTACAAATACAGTCTAAATTGTTTCTTTGCCTTGAACTACTTCATTAAAAATGGAGAAGAGGAAGAAAATCTCCTTGTCTTATATGTAATTATTTCTATTATTCTAACATCTGGAGTTTAGAATCCAAATAGAGAATTGAATGAGGACTAGTAATACTTGTGCTAGTTGCAGGACTCTTTTTTTTTCCCCAGATCTTAATCACTGGTAATATTACCATCTTGTGGCAAAATTGGAGTACTGCAATCTCTACTCACAAGAACAGAGAATTGTAGAATTGTTCCAGAATGTGACTTTGAGATAAAATAGGGTTACGGTAATGATAAATGTACTTTCCCTTTCCTTCGGGGTCAAAAATCTTCAAAAGGTAAATAAAAACTAAAATCTGTTTCACAAGCTAATGCTTTAAATTAAAAAGGGAAATAGGGTAGGATGATAAAACAGATAAAGTTCAAATAGAAATACCGTCAGTTTACAAGAGAACAAAAATGACTCCATTTCACAAACCTAGTGACTTGGATAGTAAAAGACACAACTAGTTAATAAGAATGGTACCGGCTTCTAAGCTCCAAGTTTATACAGACTAAGTCTGGCTCACTTTGTTCCCATCTAAACCTGCCCAAGGATGCTCAGAATATAGTTCGTTTCTCAGTGACTACAAATGTAGGGGAAAGTGCCCTCAGTCAGCTCCTATACATAGCACCCAGCTAATAACATTTCAGATAATAGGCCAGCATTTATTTCATCCCACAGAAAGAATGTAAAACAAAGGCTCTACAGTAACCCTATCTAACACAGAACAATTGAAGACATTTCTTCTTTCCCTTCTTATAAGTCCCATCTTTCTCGAAGCACCCAACAGTCCTCAAGTCTAATAGCTTCATC